AATAGTAGAATCAAATTATCTTCCCTTTGAGTGTGGGCTGTATTTGTGGCCCTAATAAAGAGAATGTGATATAAGTGATGGTAACTGACTTCTAAGACTGGGTTATAAAAAGCATTTTGGCTTCTTCCTCATTCTCTGTCTTGGATTACTCCCTGTGGAAGAAGCAAGCTACCATATTGAGAGGACAGTGAAGCAGCTCTATGGAGAGACCCATGGAGCAGGAGCTGAAGCCTCCTGCCAACAGCCGTGGGAATGAGCCTCCTTGGAATAGGTCTCCAGCCCTACTCAAGCCTTTAGATATCTTTAGCTCCAGCTGATGCCTTGTCTAAAACTTCATGAGAGACCCAGAGCCAGAAGAACCTAGCTAAGCTGCTCTGGAAGTCATTACTAGAAGACCATGAGATAATAGATGTTGTTTTAAACTGCTAAGTTTTAGGGTTGTTTGCTAAACAACAATAGATAAGTATATTACATAATAAAAAGCTGGTTAATAAAGTATTGTATTGGCATACAACTGAACTCTATGCAGTTGTTTAAAATAATGTCTTCTGCCTGAGATGTAGGAAACTAGAAAGAACACCATCCTCATACTTACAAGATCAAAAAAAACCTGGAAAATATGCAAATTCACTTTTCTTGGACCCATGATAGAGCTCAGCTCATAGGGCGACCATGTAACCTGAAATCTAAGAAAAGACACCTTCAAAGGGAGTTGGGACTCCAGCACTTGTTTACCTGAAGCAAAGACCTACTATGAGTTGGCAAGAGAAAATAGAAACCCTAGGGGCCACAGGTATCATGGAAATTTGCATCCACTTATAGATTTTTCTGCAAGAGCCTCACTACACACTCACAAAAATGATTAGCAGAAGTCCTAAGAAAGCAACCTTCTTGTCACAGACCAGGAGAGAGGAATATCAGTTGCTGCAGGAAAGGCATGAAACTATGCTCAGATTCTCTTGCCCTATCTTTCCTACAGAACAAAAGCAGAACTCAGTGCCAGAGAAGGGGCAATAAACACTTACACTTTAGGGGGCTGGCAAATCCAACAGCAGCTCAGGAAAGACAGCAGAATAAAAACCAAATCTGATCTTGCAGGAGAGGCAGGAATATGTGTCAGGCCCAGAGCTGCTGGGGGAGGAGGTACTTGGAAGACCACACATTAACTCTCACCCCAAGACCTGGAGACATAATGCCTGCTTGACTGAGTCTCCGTGAGAACTGAGCACTCACCCTCAGCCCCAGGCCAACTGATAACCATTGGCCAATAAGCAACAGTGGGCTGAGAGGCTGTCTGACAGACACCAGGGAAGACCTAAACTGCAGGTGGAGAAGACACTGAGGAAAACATTTGGGCAAACAAATCCATACCTTAAACACAGGTAACACTTGAGGAGTTGGAAGTGTGTAACTATAGCAACAAGAAGCCAAGGATCTACACAGAGGAATGAAAACTGCAAGAAATCATCATCACATGAGTAGGTGCATTATTTATATCTCTAAAAAGATAACTGCTGCTTAAGTAAAAAGTAATAACAATATGTTGTAGAATGTATAATAAACAGAGAATTAAAATGTATGACAACAATAGAAGTGATGCCAAGAGGGAAGAAACTGAAGTATACTGGTGTAAGGTGTGACGTGTTATTGAATCATTTGAAGGTACATTGTGACACCTTAAAGTTATATCCTGTAAACTCTAAAGCAAACACTAAAATAACATGCAGAGTTATAATAAATAAGCCAACAAATGAGATGAAATGGAATTTTAAAAATGCAATTAATCCAGGAGTCGGTAGAGAAAGAGGAGAAATGAAACCAAGAACAGACAGGAAAAATAGAAAATAATTGCCAAGATGGTAGATATAAACATAACCTATCATATGGTCCAAACACCTCAATTAAAAAGGAGAGATTGTCAAATGGATATTAAAAAAAAAAAAAAAAAGACCACCCTTGTGGCCTGCTTAAAGAAACCCACTTTAAGTATTTTTAGATTAACTGAACAAGAAGGCCATCAGACTGAGGTGGTTTTAATGCCTTAGTAGCTTAGGCAAGCAAACCAAAACCTATGCCTATAATGCCTCAAGGTTAGGAAACTGAAACCTAAGTACAACCAATCACAAACACCCAGCTAGCTTTTCTCAAAGAATGCAACCACTTAGGCTATAGCTACTTGAATAATTTCCTTGCTTCGCTTCCACCTCTTCTCTATGAAAGTCTTTCCACTAGCACCTGACAGTGGAGTGCTCCTAATCACTTCTGGTTTGGCACTGCCCTATTTGAATTGATTTTTGCTCAAATATACAAAAAGTTTTAAAAAATGTTTTATTTATTTATTTGACAGAAAGAGGTCACAAGTAGGCAGAGAGGCAGGCAGAGAGAAGGGGAAGCAGGCTCCCTGCTGAGCAGAGAGCCCAATGCGGGGCTCCATCCCAGGACCCTGAAATCATGACCTGAGCTGGAGGCAGAGGCTTAAATCACTGAGCCACTCAGGCGCCCCTCAAATATACAAAATTTTTAATATGCCTCACTTTAAAGACACAAATAGATTAAAAGTGAAAGAATGGAAAAAGATACACCATGCTAACACTAATCCAAAAAAAAAAAAAAAAAAAAGCCAGAATCACTATGTTACTATAAAATAAAGCAGGTCTCAGAATAAAAAATATGACCAAAATAAAGAAGATCATTAAAAAATGATAAAATAGCTAATCCATCAAGAGAATATAGCAATCCTAACTGTTTACACATCAATAACAGAGCTTCAGAATACACAAAGCAAAAACAGAACCACAAAGAGAATAAATAATCCATAATTATAGTCCAATATTTCAACTTCTCTCTTGAGAATTAATAAAACAATAGAAAAATGGAAGAATATAGAATACCTGAATAACATGAAATGTAAATGGATTAAACACACCAATTAAGGTGCAGGTACTGGCTGAATGAGTAAAAAAAAATGATCCCACTATATGCTATCTACAAAGACACACTTCAGATTTATACTTCAAGACTCAAATAGATTGAAAACAAAAAGATAGAAAATGATATACCATACACAGAGTAACCAAATGAGAACTGGAGTACCCATAGTAATATTATAAAAGTACATTTTAGGGGCACCCAGGTGGCTCAGTGGTTTAAAGCCTCTGCCTTCGACTCAGGTCATGATCCCAGGGTCCTGGGATCAAGCCCCACATCGGGCTCTCTGCTTAGCTGGGAGCCTGCTTCCCCCTCTCTCTCTCTGCCTGCCTCTCTGCCTACTTGTGATCTCTCTCGCTCTCTCTCCCTCTCTCTGTTAAATAAATAAATTATTTTTAAAAAGTACATTTTAAAACAAAAATTGTTACAAGACAAAGAACATTTTCTAATTACGAAAGGGTCATTCTATCAAGAATATATAAAAGTCATTAACACAGAGAAGTCTAGCAGCAGAGCCCCCCAAAACGTTAAGCAAACATGAACAGAACTGAAGGGAAAAATAGACAATACAACAACAGTAATTGGAGCTTTTAAAACCCTACTTTCAATGGATAAAATAATTAGACAAAAAAACCAAACAGGAAATAGTCTCAAACACTATAGACTAACTAGAACTAACAGACAACTATAGAATGCTTCACATTCAACAAAAGCAGAATACACATTTTTCTCAAATGCTCAAACAATATTCTTCAGGATAGATTGTATGTTAAGTCATAACATATTAACTTGTTGCCTCAATAAATATGAAGGAATTGAGATCATAAGTAGGTTCTCCAATCCTAATGGAACGAAACTAGAAATCAATAACAGAAGGAAATTCGGGGGGGTTCACAGATATGTGGAAATTCAAATCAAACTCTTAAATAACCCTAATAATAGGTCAAAGAAGAAATCACATTGGAAATTAGAAAATAATTTGGGATGAATTAAAATGAAATTATAACATACCAAAACTTATGGAATATATCTGACACAGTGCTTAGAGTTTCCAGTAGCTTCTGAAACACCCAGCTGGGGCATCTCTCCTCTAGTCAAAGGCAGGAGTCCTGATAAACAACTCCAAAACTCTGATCCTCTGACCTACTCAGGAGACTGGTTTCAGACACCCTCCAGTAAATGTTGACTGAATGAATGGTTGAGCCTTCTTCCCTAAAGCCACAGAGCCCTTACTATGTATCAGGCTAACTGCTGCTTCCATGTACAACTTTCAGTGACCCCATGTCCTCTAGGGTTGAAGCTGAACTCCTCAGCCTGGGTTTTGGCCTTTCCAAAATGACACTAACTTGACCTTTCAACCATATTCCCAACTTTTTCTCCAATATTCTCCAGTCAGGGCTATAACCACTCAAGAGATTTTGCTCCCTGGGTGCTAGGAGAAAGGGCACAGATGTCAGGGCTAAGTAGGTCATTATGCCAATCTTAGCCTATTGCATGATGCTGGGTGGTTCAGTTTCCACATCAATAAAATTGGAATTTAAAAAAAATCTGCCTTGAGGGGTGCCTGGGTGGCTCAGCGGGTTAAAGTCTCTGCCTTCAGCTGGGGTCATGGTCCCAGGGTCCTAGGAGTGAGCCCTGCATTGGGTTCTCTGCTCAGCAGGGAGCTTGCTTCCCCCCCTCTCTCTGCCTGCCTCTCCGCCTACTTGTGATCTCTGTCTGTCAAATAAATAAATAAATAAAATCTTTTTTTTTTTAAATCTGCCTTGAGGAGCACCTGGATGGCTCAGTTGGTTAAGTGTCCAACTCTTGAACTCAGCTCAAGTCTTGATCTCAGGGTTGTAGTTCAAGCCCTGCATTGGAGCCTACTTTAAAAAAAAAAAAAATCCACCTTGAAGAGTACCATATGTATTACACAGTGCTAGGCACATTGTGGAGATTCCTTATATGGAAATACTTTTACTACTACTACTACTACTACTACTACTACTACTACTACTACTACTACTATCAAGCAAACAATCCTAATCCAGCATATTACCTGTGGCAATAACCTGGAGATGTCCTGTCGTGTGGGCTGCAGAGAGCTGCTGGGGTGCATTAGGCATAAGGTGACCCCATTAGTTAACTCCCAGAAGGCAGAGAAGGACCGTCCTTAACAGCACAGCATAGTGGTGAAGAGCTCACAGCTCAAACCCAGCTCTGGGTTTTTGGATGAATTATGTCACTTCCTTGTGCTTAAGTCCTTTTCATCCTTTATTTGATAAAATGCAGATGATACTGAATAGTCTTACTGTGAGAATTAAATGAGATGAAGCTTTCAGACTAGTGCCTAGATGGCTGTTTGCATATTATCATTAACAACTTGTTAACCACATTCTTTCCTCCAGGGAAGGAAAGGAAAGGCTTGTCCATGATTTTAAACCAGGTCTCCACTCCACTGCCCCTCAAGTGAAAATGTGATAGAGGTGGCCTTAAAAATTTTTGCATGATTGGGACACCTGAGTGGTTCAGTTGGTTAAGTGTCAGTCTCGTGATTTCCTATCAGGTCAGGATCTCAGCGTCCTAACATCAAACCCTGGTTAGGGCTCTATGCTCAGTGTGGAGTCTCCTTGAGATTCTCTTCCTCTCTCTCTGCCCCTCACCCTGTTTGTGCGAGCATGCAGGAGTGCATACTCTTTAAAAATTTTTTTTAAAGTTTTGCATAATTGTAGGAAATAGTGAAAAATCCAGTTTGAAAGAAAAATAAAAATAGTTTGCCCATTTGAAATCGGCAGGGTAAGGAGCAGCCATGGAACAAGTGGACTCTACAGTGGTCCCATTATGCCATCTAGTGGACAGCAAAGGAAAGGCATGATTTTATCTTCAAAGGTAGTAACTTACCCAAAACGTGTATATTGATGAGAATAAAAACTCACTAATAGGTTCACATGTCAATAAATTTCATTCAATTTTTAAACCAACATAAAAGTTCAGAGTTCTATACACTAAGTGCTAAAGTTAAATTCTCAAAACCACTTAGGAGTTATGTGATGTATGCTAGAAAGATCATCCACTGAAGGAAAAGAGAATACACACCAGACCTTACTAGCATGAATTTTCACAGCCCACCTTGCCCATTCTTCTTATCCTTCTCCACCAACATTCTTCATGCTTATTCTGGTACATATACTTGGAGTGCCCCAGAGACTCAGAGTGTACCTAATCAATGCACCACTAGCCCTTGATTGGTACCAGAGCCATTCTGCTCATTTTCCAAGAATGCAACTATCACTTAAAATTTTGCTGTAATCGGCAGGAGCCACCTCTGCCAGCAACATGTTCAAGGTAATTCAGAGGGCTGTGGGGCCGGCCAGCCTGAGTCTGCTCACCTTCAAAGTCTATGCGTCACCTAAAAAGGACTCACCTCACAAAGCTTCTGTGAAGGTTAATGAGCTTTCACTCTACTCGGTTCCCGAGGGTCATTCTAAATATGTGGAAGAGCCAAGGACCCCACTTGAGGAAAGCATTTCACATCTCCGACATTATTGCGAGCTGTATAAAAGTTGGTGTCAGGGGGGCACCTGGGTGGCTCAGTGGGTTAAAGCCTCTGCCTTCGGCTCAGGTCATGATCCCAGGGTCCTGGGATTGAGCCCCGCATCGGGCTCTCTGCTCAGCGGGGAGCCTGCTTCCCCCTCTCTCTCTGTCTGCCTCTCTGCCTACTTGTGATCTCTGTCTGTCAAAAAAAAAAAAAAAAAAAAAAAAGTTGGTGTCAGGAAATGTACTCCCAAACTAAGCCTAAGATGCAGAGCTTGGTTCAATGGGGGTTAGGCAGCTATGAATATCTCCAAAATGCACCTCCTGGATTTTTTCCAAGACTTGGTGTTATCAGTTTTGCTGGCATTGTTGGACTTCTTTTGGCTAGAGGCTCAAAAATAAAGAAGCTGGTATATCTGCCTGGATTCATGGGACTTGCTGCCTCTCTTTATTACCCACAACAAGCCATCGTATTTGTCCAGGTCAGTGGGGAGAAATTATATGACTGGGGTTTACGAGGATACATAGTCATAGAAGATTTGTGGAAGGAGAACTTTCAAAAGCCAGGAAATGTGAAGAATTCACCTGGAAATAAATAGAATGCTGCATGCTCTGCCCATTTTAATCAGTTATAGGTAAACATTGAAAACTCCATGGGGTAAACCAATATTTCTACAGAAAAATGGCAGAGAAGTCAGTACCGAATGTAGTAAATTGGCTTTCTTCTTCAGGATAAACTATGCTAGGCTTCTTTGTTATCTTGGGTGATACCATATTACAAGTGGACTAATCGGAAATCCTTTCACCTAGAGAGAATGTCTAGCCTTAGAACTCGTTCTCATGTTGTTATTTATGTACATAATTAAAATTCCAAATTAAAAAAAATTTGCTGTAATCAAATTGACTGTTTTTCGAGGACCCATGTGTTTGGTTTTGTTTTTCGCGCGTGTGTGTGCGCGCGCGTGCGTGCACATGTTGTTTCCTTTCAAAGCCGTTTATTACTTTTATAGTTTGTTTTCTCCTCCAGATATTGATGAGGGTGAAGACAATGGCAAACAAATCTCCTCAAAAGGTGAGTAATAATAGCATATTTGAAGTACCCACAGCTGTTCTGAAACCTTCTCTTTAGTATTATTGTCATCACTATTAACCATAATAATAACAGGTGTTATTTATTAAATTCCTAAGGTGTACCAGACATTTTACTTTATAAGCCCTTTTTTTAATCTTGATCTCAAAACTGCAATGGATATTATTATCACTATTGTTATAGACAAGAAAACGGATGCTCAGAGAGACCAAGTGACTTACCCAGGACCACACAGCTAGTAAATGAGTGACAAAGTCAGAACTACCCTCAGGTCTCACTGACTCCAAAGTCTCTGCTCCTACCACTGGACAATGGGCCTTTCATTTATTCACTCATAGGATCTGTCAGACTCTGAGCCCAAGATTCTGGGGTCCCCTGAGTGCTGTCACCTTTATAGGAACTAAGACTTAGTCCCTAAGACCCCTGAGAGCCCATGGCCAGTGAATCCAGGAGGAAGGGCTTCAATATGCAAATGACAGAGATGTAGCAAAACTCAGACTGGGAGCTGCACTTTTGTCCCCTGCACTTCCGGCTTTAATAGATGGACCTTCTTCAAGGTGTGCTGGTTCTGAGAATGCTGAGTCTTTCCCAGGAGCTGGGGGGGCAGGGGGGAGGGGTACTGGGAGAATAGGATATAGTCTCTGCTGCCAAGAGCCTGGGACCCACGGGGGAGACGCAGGAGGGCTCGCTCAGAGCAGCTGCCGTTTGTGTAAGAAGAAATTCTGTCTTGAAGAGTCTTACAAGGTGATTGTGGGGTAGCCCATCACCTCCACAGTCCCTCTCCTCCTCTGTCTCCCATAATAGAATGGGATAGAATAGAATAGAACACAATGGAGTAAAATACAATAGTAGACTAGAACAGACTAGATCAGATCAGAATATCATACCTGTAAGGGGAATATTTTTCCATAAACTTGTTTTCATTTCAGAGATGTGTTATGTGTGTCCACTGTGTTGGATGGAAAATGGGCATCTCTCTGGAGCTGCTTCTAAGGCGTATAGACAACTTTGGTTTAGACTAAACTGGGCGGCCTGAGGGACTCCAGGCCTCCCCCACCCTCACCCATGGTACCAGGAATGAAGGAGGCCTTGTGTGCTGACAGTCCCCAGGCAGGAGGTGGCATCTGGGTCATGAAGCACTGGGAAGATCATTTCTTTCCAGGCTCAGGCAGATCCTTCCTGAAGGCAGGAAAAGGCCCAGGTGACCTTGAAATGATGCAGTCAACCTGTGGCCAAATGTGCAAGAGGTCCCCTTTGGCAGCCCTGTGCCGGGTTGAGGGTCCCCTTTCCTCTGGCTGGGCCCACAAGAGAGGGGAAACCCACTACCAGTGCCTGGTCGTCATTTTACCCCAGGTGTCACCTCCTGCAGAGTGGCTGGAACTGGCTGTCAGGTGTCTAAGCTGCACCATCGCCGCCCAGTCCTGCCGCCCCCAGGCCCTGAGTGCTCCATGGTTGCCTGAGGCCTCAGGCCAGGCCCCACCCCTGCCCTCCCAGCAGGTGGCTCTGGGGTCCCCCCCACCCCGCTTTGTCTGGGGCACTGAGGCCACGGACCCTGGAGACATCGTCTTTCTGTTCAGACAGGGGGTTGGGGAGAGGGTGGTCCAGAGCAATGTCTCCAGTGTCTTCCCTTATAGCCTTTTAGCAAGACTGCCATTCCTCATCCTCCCTGTCTGCTCCCTGGTGTAAGGGGGTCTGGGTTGGATGACTGCCCTAGAGAGATGTCTCTGGGTGTTACTGTGGATGGATGCCCCTGAATCCTGTCTGGGGGAGGGCAGTGGGAGGCAGTTCCCTGAACCAGTTTCTCCTCTACCCTCAACCCCTCACCCTACCATGTCCTGGGACTAGAAATCAAACCAGGTTTGCTGCAGTCTGAGAGCACTGTGTCCAGCTGCCTTACAATCCTCCAGCATCAGGTGGGGTCCCTGGAGGCCTTCAGGAAGGGGCTGCCTGGCTGCTCTGGGGAGAGCCCTCGGCCCCAGAATGCAGCTTGGGAGGTCTCTGGGCAGCAGGTATAAGCGTTCCCACATGTGCCCTTCCTGCTCATTGGTAAAACTGTGCCACCACCCCCAACTGTAGGCTCCTTTGGGATTCCCGTGTCTAGGATCCCCCACTCCCCATGCCCTGCTAATGCCCTTCAAGGCCTCACCCCAATCTCCACCTGAACAGAAACTTGGTCCTACACTCAGATTCCTGTGGGATGGATTACTCAGCTGCCGCTCAGCCATTCAGTCAACAGAACTTGGCCAAATGATTATTCCTCCCTCGTCTCAGTTTCTCATCTGTGAAATGGAGCTAAAGCTCTTACAGGGTTATGTGAAGCTTAACTTTTGACCGACTGGCACTCCAGCAGGCAAAAAGAGTGGCTCAGTGTTTGGGGTGTTGCTGTTCCCCTCAGTGTCTAGCAGCCCCAGGGACATGACAGGTGCACAGTGACATGACTGGCCCATTAATGAATCAATTCATTGGAGAGAGAGGCAGGATGTACTTGCTTCTCTGACTTCCCGTGGGGACAGCAGTGACAGAGGTTACCATGGTAATGGGAAATGGGCAGTAATCAGGGGAGAGAAAAGGGGGCAAGGGGAAAAGAAGGGAGGGAAGAAGGATGGAGGGCAGGAAGGTCGTCAAGCACAAAAAGACAATGACCGTTTTTTTGGAGGACAAGGAGTAGGACTATGAGCACCATGTAGACATGTCTTCTCAGTCACACACACTCACAGAATTTTGAGCTGGGAGAGGGAAACTGGAGATCACAGACCTCTACTTCCGCCCCCAAGGTGAGGCAGTCCAGGTCCTGGGAGATTGGGAGTTAGAGATGGGGGAGAATGGGTTCTTGGGGACAGGAACTGCCTGGAACATCGGCCATCCCCTCCCCCACACAGCAGGTCAAATTCTTCCCTTTCTCCAAGGCTGCTCCAGCAGAGAGTTCATCTCCATGGAAACCTCTGAGGAGACTGAAGGTGCAGAAGAAATGGAAAAGGAGAACAGTGCTCTGAGTGTAATTTATGTTTTTCTTACCTCTTTCATTTTTCTCCCTCATTCCTATCCATCAGCTTCTCCTTCCTGCCTCTTCCTCTCCGTTTCCTCTCTCTCCCCCTTTTCATAATTCTCACCCAGAAGGACCAGGCCTAACTCGAGAAGCTGAGGTCACTGAATCTGCAAAGTGCCTCAGACCCTCCCAGACTAGCATGGCCCCGTCTCCTTAGCAATGCACTAGTTTCTCATCATAAATACGGGGCTCCTGCCGGAATCCTGCGTGGCCACGTGGGAGAGCTAGGGTGGGCTCCAACCTGCCCCCGGGAATTACTGCTCGCACCTGGCCCGGGCTCGGGCACTCCCCGGCATTGCCAACTCTGAGTGTGTACCACTGTGCCCTCCCTTACAGCTCTCCGGACTTTTCCAGTTGGACGACAGTTATGAAACGTGTACCTCCAAATCTGTCCCGGAAACGGGAGAAAGCATCCAGGGGAAAAAAGAAGGTGGCGATGAGGACATGTGAGTGTGAAAGAGGAAAAAACAGTAAGCGAACTGGTTAGCCGTTGCTCCCCTGACTCTTGTTGAATTTCAGGACAACAAACAAAACTAAGCCAGGGTCCACTGGCTTGCTCGCCCCTGCGGTGGCGGGGGACAACTAGCTTACGGACATAAGCAGTGCGGGCAAGGGAAGGATGCCTGAGGACCCTCTCCCCAGAGAACTGACACTGGTACCAGACCCCCGCGGCTCCCCGCTCGGCCGAGGCCCCCAGGCCGCCTTCGTTCCGCTCACAGGCTGCGGCGGCCGCTGGGGGCCCGGCCCACCCTTACACAGAAAGCAGCCAAGGGGCCTCGGACCCTCCGAATCTGTCACCCTGGCGCGGGGGAAGGGCCACGACCACCTTCCAGAAGACTAAGGAAGGGTCCACGGCTTGCCGGGGGAGCCCACCCTCCAGGTATGAGCCGCGGAGAAACTGGAAGCTGCTCCCCACGCGCCTGCGCAACCTCCGGGCGGTGGGCAGAGAGACCCGCAACCTCCCAAGCTCGCTCCACAGGCGCCTGCGCGGGGACTCGGTGTGGAGGCCGGCGAGCCTCGAGGCTGTTCAAGCGCCTGCGCGAGCGCCGGAGAACCCCGCGAACTCCGGAGAACCTCGCGAACCCCGGAGCGGCTCTACGCGCATCTGCAGAGGTTAGCGAAGCCCAGTCCTGGACCGCTCTGCCCAAGGTTTCTCAACGTTGCACTCAGACTTTGGGGGCTGGGGAATTCTATGTCGGGGAGGGGAGGGCAGTCTTACGCATTGTAGGATATTTCACAGCATCCTTGGCCTCTTCCCGCAAGATGCCAGTAACAGCCCTCTCCCACCCGTTCACCCAAATTATGACAATCAAAAATGCCTTCAGACGTTGCCATTTTTTTTCCCTGGGCGGGAGTGGGGAGATCCGTTGAGAATCTCCTCCCCGAGCCTTGGAGGAGCTGAAACTCTACAGGGGCAGCCCTGTGCTCTTCTCCCTGAATCCCCACAAGAACGTTCCTGTGGTGTTTGTGTTGCTTTGTTCCAAGATTGTATCCTTTCAGAGAGGGTTGGTTCCAAGTTAATGTCTGAGGTATTTCGTTTTAGATTTATTGGTTTTAAAATTAGTTTCAGTTATTTTCAGTTATTTTTTATTTTTCGTTATATTAGTTAATTTTTAGTTAACCTCTATTTTTAGTTTTCTAGTTATTTCATTTTATAGCTTTAAAGTTACTTGTTTATAAATATTTTATTACTTATTTAGCTACTAAAAATTCACTGCAAGTTCTTTTTTTTTTTTTTTTTTTTTTTTTATTTGACAGAGAGAGAGAGATCACAAGCAGGGGGAGTGGCAGAGGGAAAGGGAGAAGCGGACCCTATGCTAAGCAGAGAGCCTGACATGGGGCTCCATCCCCGGACCCTGGGATCATGACCTGAGTCGAGGGCAGACGCTTAATGACTGAGACACGCAGGCGCCCCTCACTGGAAGTTTTAAAATTATTTTTGAATTATTTTCAGAAAAAAGTGTTTTTAGTTATTTTAGAGTTTTTCTCTTGTTAGTTTTAGTTATTTATAGTCACAGTTATTTTTCGTTATTTTAGAGTGGGGTTGTTTATTTTTATATTCATTTATTAATTATCTTTTAGTTATTTGGTTTTAAATTATTTTATTTTCAATTGTTGCATTTTTGAACATTATATTTCCTGAATTTTTCATTTTCAGAGTTTTGAGATATTAGTTTTGATTTATTTTCAGTTATTTATTCTCAATTATTACTTTTCAGTTACATCTTTGCCACTTAAATTTTTTTTTCTGTTCTGTATTTTTACTTCTTTCATTTTCAGATTTATTTTCAGAATTATTTAATATTAGAATTACTTTGTCTAGGGGATCCAAACAAAAGAGAGACATGACATCAGTTATTTTAACACAGAATTTAGTATAAAGAATTGTTATCCAGATATTGGAGAGTTTAAGAGGGAAAAAAGTGATAATGTGATACATGGAGATGTTAACTGCAAGAAGCTGCTACCAGCCCAAGGGCTGAGGGAGCAAAAGGAAGAAATTGGAGGTGGCCTTGCATAGCTGGGGTTAGTCCTCTGAGGAGGAAGTGCTGCCCCATAGGACAGGTGTCCCAGGAGCTGGAAGTTAGTCTGGGAGCTGCCAGCTGGTGCTGGTGTCTTTGAAGCAGGCGGGCAGGTGGGGGTTGGTAACTGAAACCAGATATTGCTCTCAGAGTGCAGACCAGTTGCTAGGCGGATGCCGACAGGAACTCAGGTGCACAGAGGTCCCTCTCCCCCCTTCTGTCCTCTGGTCAGTCTGCTCTATTGGCCAGGCTTCACAGGGAACAGCTGGCAAAAGAGGTGAGTGGCCCCAGCCCACAAAGCAGAGATTAGAAGGGTGGGCTGAAAGCTAAGAAATCAAGGCTAATAACCAGCACCCTGACCTCTAGAGTCGTTTAGTTTTAAAGCTAGTTTTGGATTTAGTTAGTTTTGAAATTGTTAGCGTGATTTGATTTTAGCTTTTCACTGGACGTGGGAGCTGGCTAAGTTTTTGGTTCCCTGATTTGTTTCTGGAATGGAGTGGGAACTTCTTAAACATCTGAGGACTGTCTCCCATGTGACTCAAGAAAATCACTTCAGAATTCAAGAAAACAAAAATAAATATCTCACTTTGTTCATAAAGAAGCCCTTTGACTACATGGCCAAAAAAGGGCAGAGACTAAGGGACAGACCATCAGGGAGAGGCTCTTCAGCAAAATTGTCCAACAGAGTGTTCTTTGAAAATTTTCAGGAAGTTATGTTGTGGAGCTATCCTCTTGTGCCCCTTTCCTAACAATAAAATATCTTTCTCAATGGAGTGTGTTTCACATTTGTAGACTACAATATTGATTGTTTGAACACAAAAATAAAGTTGTTTCCAAACCCACAGGAAATCTTATTTCCTTCTACTTGCATTGTTTTCCACTTTGGCCATAGAACATTTGTTTGTTTGTTTGTTTGTTTGTTCAGTACCTATTTCCTGAGCACCCCTGTCCTCAGGAAGGTACTGGCATCAGGAAAGACCAGGAAGGCATGAAGATGAGTGAGAAGCTCTCAGTACAGTTTGGGGAGACAGATGTGGAAACATCATCACAACACAGGGTGACAAATAACATGGGGGCATGGAACCCTGCTACTGACTTCCTGATGTAGTCAGGGATGATCTGACTTCAGGGCTGGGTCTCCTGGAGCAGGCATTTTCTCCAGATGGAGAAGGAGAAGAACATCCTGGTCGTGCACAGACACAGAGGCGTGGAGATGTGATGCATGGCAGGGAGGATGCTTTGACAGAGGCTGCTAGGCCACAGGGTTCAGAAAGGCACTAACGTTAGGGCTGGCCCTGGTGCTTGACAGATAGAACCTCATTTGGTCCACACAGCCAATCTGCAAGAGAGTAGGAAGCAACCTCAAGAGTCAATGCTTTTCCTGGTCTTACCGTTCCAGTCACAGCCTAGCAGGTTCTCTGACTTGTCATTTCTGGAATTTTTCAGCTCATTTCTGGCTTTATCCTTGGTCCATTCACTCCTCCCCACTTACCCTTGGAGGTGAGTCCCTCCATCCTCTATCTTTTGATTCCTGCTTCTTAAACATCGGTGGGGAAGGAGGAGGGTTGAGACCAGCCAGCTGTGAGGTGCCAGTAAGGCCAGCTGCAGAGGAGGCCGACAGAAGCAGAGGATAGTCCCTGTGGGGTCTTCTAGGGGAGTTTTGCTGACCAGCACGGTGGGAACTGAGCTCTTGGTGAACCAATCATAACCTACAACTGCAAGCAAAACCCCTTGAAAGTTTGTGGGGATGCCTTCCCAAAGTGGGGAGCCTGCTTTACAACAAGCCCAAACCCGTGAATTAACAGATTGGGACTTTTAAAAGCACACAGGGCCCTTTGTTGCATGAAGAGCACTGGACAGGTTTACCCAGTCTAAAGAAAGTAGAGTCCTTCCCAACCTATGATGGCATATTTTCACACTTTTTTATAGAACACATTCTTTCAGTCAGTCTTGAGTATGTTTCTCAGCACACTTCTCTGCTTTGGCTCTCTGGTCGTCTTATCAATCACCATATACATTTCTCCAAGAGAATATTTAAGACCCGGAGCTGGACAGAAGAATCTCTGGATTCTATCAGAATTATCAGAAAACGCATCACTTGGATCCTCTTCAACACTTGACCATTGACTAGCCATGTGCCCGCTATAGGAACAGCCCAAAGCTTTCTCAGTCCTTTGGACATCAGTCATTTTCTGAATTTACGAAACCAGCCACACTTGGTGGTACTGGCAGAGTGCAAAGTGCTCAAACCCCCGGGCCTCACCTGAGGAGCCTCTCCCCAAAACTTGCATCACAGTGGACAACCAGAGGAACCATGTCAGGACCAGTCCTCATTGCTGATGATGCCCCCGGGTGCTCTGTGGTAGCCCACTCTCACCTTCCACTCTGGCTCCTTTGGCTAACCCCCACACTTTTGCTCTGCTTATAGGTGTCCTTTCAGAGAAACAACAGAAATAATAATAAAGGGTAAATAATAAGGAAACTTACGTCTTCTATTTGAGTAAATGGAAAAGAATTCAAAACCAGATACAATCTTCCAGCCAGTTATTCAAGTCATCCATAGCTTGCTAGAGTTGCCTGTTGCCCACTAAAGGGACTCATTTCAACATGCTGCTGAGGACTGGGCATGCTGCAGCCCCACAGGAAGGTGACCCAGCTGAAACCAGCCCTGGATCTGTGAAAGCTGTCTGAGTCCACACTGAACACCAGCTGTGCCTTATGAAATAATCAGACAAGATAGATATCCTCCAAATCAGCATTTCCCAGAGCATATTTTGCAAAATAGGCAGAAGAGTGTAAGAGTTCAATGAGTTAATCCCATGTTGGAAAAAAAAAAGTTTAAATATATTTTTTTAAATACTACGTATTTTATTTCTCATTTTGTTCATCTCAGTTAGTGAATTAAAGGATTTGAGAACTCTTTCATGAAGGAAGTCTGTATATTTTTGTTAAACTCATAATTTCCCAGACATGTTTGACCACAGAATCCTTTTCTTTTTGGAATATAACTTTCCTTGTATATTAGTAAGGGGAAAGCTGCTGTAGCAGAGATCTATCCATATAGTGCATTAAAGAA